AAGGTGCAGAAGCATTCATTTCCACTGTACAGCTGGGGAAACTGAGATGCATGGTGGGAAATGACTTGCACTTGAAGTAGGACCAAATTATAAGCTCCTTGGAGTAAGAGTTGTGTCTTATTTCTGCTTGGAAATTGTCTGACTCATCCTTGACATTATCATAAACACACCTCTTCTGTGCATGCCTGATGTGTAGTGGACCACGTGGCCTTGTGGCACGTGCAGAAACAATTTAAAATGACTTTTTCTCATATCTGCGTCAAAAATAACAGAAATCGGTAGTCCCTAGCCATGGGGAGCCAGGTACAACACCCAAGCAATGTCCCGCACTCAGCGTTGAGTTTTGCAAAGCGGGAATTCCTTGGCTGACCCATGCAAGGGAAGGTTACATGTTACCTTTGTCCCCACTCCTCTTATGAAACCTCCTAAGTCTTTGTGAAATGGCAATGGTCTTGCTCTGGAAATGATGGCCCACAGCTTGCTGACTGTAAGTGGGGGAATAAGCACTTTGTTTTCATGCTCATCTGAATGGTGTGAGAGGCGGGAACAAGAAAATAGACTACAGAAGCCGGTTCTTTTTCTCAGAAGAATGTTTGGGCTTTTTCCAAAGCTTTCCATGAGGTGGCAGAGGCTCTTCAGAAGTGCGCTAAGAGGATTTAAAGAATGATTCAGTAATCTAATCCTGTGCTTTTTGTTGCCTTTTCAAACATGCTAAAAATAATCAAAACAGCAAAATGCTGTCCCCGGGCTGTGGGGAAAGGAATACAAATGCCATTCCCCCAGTATCCAGTCATCTGCTAGTTCTGCCTTTTCTTAAGAATAGAGTTTATTGAAGCAATTTATCCTGACTCAGTGTGATATAAATCTCTACATATATTTACATTCAGGTTATCGTTCATAGTGAGTAAGCAGTTAATAGTTTTTGAGGGAAACCAAAATGAATCTTCCTAACATTGTGCAAGATCAACTGCAATTCTCAGTGCACAAATCTAAAATTTTTAAATAGCACCGCTGGTTACTCTGTCAGAAGTGTCTGGGGGGGAGCCTGAAATACTATGGTTTTTTTTTCTCAGTTTTGATTGGTTTTATCAAAGCCACAAGAGTAACTGCTGATCCATTTCTTTAATGTCTTGAATAGCTTGGAAGCATAAATACCAAACGAAAAGAGACCCAACATCTTAAGAAGGGGTGGATGAAACAAGCTGGTAAAGTGACAGATATCTGACATTACATTAATTAGGGCAAAGTAAGGATTTTTGCCTTCTTGTTATCCTGGAAGTTTAATGCACTTTATTAGAAAAGTAAAATCGCTTCTCTTCCTAGCTAAGTACACCACTCGGCTCCACGTAAAATCCCCCAACTGTGTTAATGATTTAACTTCATAATCCTCTTCACCCACTCACCGTTCAGTAGCTTATCTCTTTTTAAGGCTGATTTTTACAAAATTTTAAAGGATAACTAATACCACTTTCATCCATTTCTTGTCTGCCATTCTCCTGTTATCACAGCGTGATGGCTCTTTCGTCAATGGTTTAATATTCCCCAAACCTGTTGTTTTAATATGGCTGATGAAAGAACCGCTGGACTCCCAGAGGACTGTCACTGCCTTGACAATAGGTGTGTTGCGTAGGCATTGACAATGCAATCTCTCCTCCTACACTGCGTCACCAATGAATCTAAGCCCATGCTCTCCCTAACTGCGAGGAGAGCATAGTTTCCATAGGCATACAATTCTTGGTTCTGAGATTGAGGCATGAAGATGGGAATCAATTTGTCAATTTATAACCACCTCCTGCTTCGGAGCATGTAAGGACTAACACTGCCCTTTAAAGATATAAACAATTGCCAAGTCTTTTAGCAGTCAAAGACAACACAAGTAGGATTGCAGATCTGAAACTGGATGTCAGGAGTTTTGGGTTAAGTCCTATGGACCACACTAAGCTGGTTGCAGAACTAAAGTCTGGAGGTTCTGAGGGGTCTTTGGTGTGCATGATGGACCTGTGTCTTTCCTGATTCATAAAAAAACCTGCTGGAAATAGTGGAACTGTGCTTGGGGGAACCCATCACATCCTTTTGGGAGAACATGGTACAGCTCCCCATAAGTAGGCAATTGTTAGGTCTTTATTCAGTACACCACCTCTTGATACTGATAGTCCTTCCAAATTACCATCCTCTTTCAAACTTCACCTTCTTCTGCGAAAGGGGGCGGCAAAGCAATTTTAGTAGGATTTGTAGTCTTAACTTTTCCTTTCACTCCCGTGAGATTTGAGATTTGGTTATGTTAGACACACCGTATCAGTTGCATTATCCATCTCAATGAAGAATGCAAAGATAAATTGAGGCTCTCAGCTCTTTTAGATCAATCTGCTTCCCTTGGTACAGCTGATGGCAGGGTTTTGGGGAGCTGGTTCTGGTCCTCACTTGGGGTTAATGGAGTTTGTCTAGTTGCTTTGCTCCTTTCTTTCTAGATTTCAGAGCGTTGCTTGGAGCAAAGGAGCATGGGGCAGACATGTTACTGCATCATTTGACATGTATTCATCCTTTTGAAGGCTGTTATTGAAGAAGCATGAACTTACCCTGCTTTCAATATGCCATTGATAACACCTACCTCTCTATCTGCATTTTGTGGTCTCATCGGATGCGTGTTCCGTACGTGAATGAGGTTAGGTCTAGAACGAGGGAGAGCTGGTTGAAAATCAGTGGTCATGTCTGCAGGCTCTGTTTAGAAGGTCAAAGTAGTGGTGGACATCCACTCCCTTTATTGGAGAGAGCACACTCACCTTTCAGTTTCTCAAGTAAACAGTTTGGGGTCTGAGTTGGAAGCTTAGACAGAGGTGGCCAAGGCTAGTTTTTGTTTTGCTTTCCCCCTGCATCTGTGCTTGCTGAGGCTTTTGACGTGTTTTAGATACTCCTCTTGCTGTCCTCTCAGCGGCAAAGGCGTGGCTGAGACGAGGTCCCTGTCAGGAGCGCTCAGTCTATAGTCTATACATCATGAGAAAACACCTGCTTTGTGCTAGGATGGTGCTCTGGGATCTGTGCTGGCTTTATAGTAGAATTTAGGATGTTGGTGTTTGATTTATAAAACTGTAAGCCGTTTTGGATCCCAGCTGCATCTCTCATGAGGGTTTTCTGATCAACAGAAGCCTCCAGCTCTAGGATTTAGCTCAAGTCTTTCTCTAGGATCTTTTGAGCTTGTTACTTCCATGCACTCTGCAAGGTCCATTTCTCTGAGCTTTCTGGGTGGGGCTCGTATTTGTGGCTAGTCTTATTTAGATGCAAATTATGAAGCACCCTTGTTGCCAGCCCATTTATATTTTTGTTTGAAGGCTATTCACCTCTTGTGTTCCCATGGTTTTTATAGGCCTAGAGTTCATTTTCTTAATAATAAAGCTAAACATCATCTGAATTGAGAGAGCAGATTTTGTAGAGACCTTCAACAGCTGTTCAGTGGCCTGTGAGAAGTGGGTGGACTGCAATTCTGTTCCTCTAAAGGGTAACAGCTTTTAACCGTGACCAACTTGAGCCAGAGTTGCTTGAGCACTCTAGGGAGGGGAAAAGCTCCAATCTGACCAGTCCCTTCAGAAATGCAATTACTGGATCCCCCGAAGCCATCTTCAGCTCCCTCCTTCTGCAGCCCACCCACATACCCCCCCATCCGTGTTTTGTGCCCCACTAGAATGCTTTCCAGAGAGTTCCTAAAAATAACCCTCCCCATCCTCTGTGCTACCAAGGTATTTCTGCACGGTCAAAAAAATTTAAAATCTAAACAAAGTGTGTATTTTTATGAACTAATTTTGGCTGCATTCTGGTTCCATTTCTGTTCTTGGCTCCAGTGATGCCTGTCAGCTTTCTACAGCCAAGAGCGTAACACGAAGGCTGGAAACAAGATGAGCAGTCGGAACACGTTCACGCAGTAAACCCCCCGAAGAGATAACATTTTCTTTATTATAGCTTTTTAAAATCCAGCTATAAAAATATCAGTGGGTGGATGGAACCATTATTTCTAGAGTTTGAGGTGGTGGGGGTTACTTTATTTACTCTTATTTTTTATTAATAAGAATAGCTTCACTTGTAGCATAATAGGGCAAAGTGCTTTGTTATCCTTGGCTATAATCTGTGATAAATTACCCTTGCCATCAGCCATGTAGTTTACCCACTGGGGAGCCAGATTATTGCCTTGTAAAATGGAGCACCACTCCTATAATCCCTTAATTAATTAAATGACAAATTTTAGTTCTCTCCCATTGAAAATATAACTTGTATGTAGAGCAGACTCGATTTATCTAACTGCTTCTGCGTTACGCACTCTCCCTACAGAAAAATGTGCGTGTGTGTACAGCTTTGTATACTACATTAAAAATCAATGAAGAAAATAAACAAGTGGATTAATACTTTGCTTTTCTCCAGTAGCTTCCATCTGAGGATGAATGTTTAATTCTTAGTCCTGCCCTGAGATACGATGATACCATTGCCACTTCCAGGTGGGGGCTTGGGGCAGGGTATGTTTACACTGCCGTTGGCAGAGTTCTTCCCAGCATGGACAGACAGACATGCAGTAACAAGGAGAGGCTGCTTGAGGAAGCGGGGGTCCAGGTAGATTTGTGTTCAGGAGGCTCGCCTGAACGGCACTTATTTGAGCAGAACTAGCATGTCTGTCGTCTATTGCAGGGAGGCCAGGCCATGAAAGAACCAGGAGTGAAACCCCCGAATGCTGACCACTTACCCCTTATTCTGACCATTGGTCGAGGCTGTCATGGCTCCTCTTTTAACTACTACACTGTATTTCCTCTTTGCAATTGCAGAAATGACAGGGTCACCTTAAGCCAGGCAAGATGAATCCCTTCTTCCACACATGTGATGTTGGGGGCTCAGAGAACCTCTGTTCCCCCCCCACCCATATCTGCAGTATTAGCTAATTATATTCCTCTGAAGAGCTTCTGCTCTTGATATTTTGAATGTTTAACTTTAACAATTTCCACCCCTCTTTTCTTTCTCCTCAGCTTTGCCCCGCTGGATGAAATATGGGAGACGACAGGCCGTTTGTGTGCAATGCCCCCGGCTGTGGACAGGTACTTTTACAGTATACTTTATTGTGAATGTGGTGTTGTGAATCAAAGTGTCTGTTTTTATCACTGAGGCAAAGAGTTTAAAGCCAGCGTTTTACATGATCACTGGAGGTAATCAGATCGGAGGATTTGCTGTGTGTAAATCCAAGTTATGACCAAGTGCAAGCACTACAAAGTAATGAAATCTGCCTTGCTTTGTGCCATATTGTTATTCTGCTAGTGCTTTTCATGAGACCCACACAGTGCAGAGAAGACATGCTGATCTCCAGTTAATGTCTTCTCGTAGTGTTACACACCTTCATTCAAGGCTATTCAACCAAAGGACAGATATTCCTTCTCTGTCAGGATGAGTTAGCTGTGAGCATATTCCGCAAAGCAGCTGAGAATGTGACAGTTGATGGTTTGCTGCTATGTGAACCCCAAACTGCTTGATTCTATTTTGAGCTTTCAAAAAAAAAAATTTCCTCCATAGGTTACTTGTTACTGTTAGTTGCAGCTTTGCGAAAGTTTTTGTTGTTGTTTTGCTCACTTGCTTAGGTTGCATATTTTTGTTATGAATGCATGAAGTACCTCTTCTCATGCGTGAAAGGGCAGGTAGTAGACTTTGTGCCTGGGCTGGTAATGTCCAAGCATTACCAAGGGGGTTCCCTCCCCCTGTCCCCCCTCCAGTAGTTAGTGCTTCCCTGAAGTCTGATTTAATGCAAAACAAACCTCTAAAAACAGAGGGTGTCATTTCCCCTTCATTAAAACACTAATGCTTCATGTGATCCTAGGTGGCACCCATTGTCATACCTTCTGAAGTTCCTTTCCCTTTAAAAACCAAAACATTTGAACTACTGAGCCATTCCAGTGGAGAGTTAGTAAAATCCTGCATAAATTCCTTAGCATACTTGCTCTTGCTAATGAATTAAAAGCTTCTGTCATGGTGCCAACATTTCAGAAGGGGTGAACAGGCATGCCACTAAATGGTTTGTGGCTTTTAACCAGATCTTCAGTGATTCATATCCACTCTGTTACCTAATGGTCAGACAGGGAAATGGGTTGCCAGGTTATTATGACTGACACACTGGGGAGCCATAACCAATTCCCAGGATGAACCCCCACAGCTTAATTTGGGGGCCCCCAATCTTTTAATGCCTCTTTGGGTCTTTTCATGATGAACATTAAACAGGATAATGCTTGAGGCATGTGCTTTAAGACAGCACGTTAATATTTTGATATAGCTACTTTGTGCAAGGGAGGAATCTAAACCACTAACCAAGTACTTGGACTTTTAAAAAAAATATACAGTTGCTGTGGTTTTAATCTTTTGCTTACAAACATTTCTAGTACCAGTCTCCTCTGATGCATTTTTTTTTATCCTGTGCTTATATAGACTTGGTTTTGTGGCCTATCTTCTCTTTTTCTTCCTGAAATTTTGCAAGTCGTCATAAGCCGTGCTTGCGGGATCTGAGCACGGAGGTGAACACTTCAGTTATATAACTAACTCTAAAATCAGATTCATACCACAACTAAGGCAACCCAAAGCTTATTTAAATCATTTTTAAAAACCCACCCAAATGAGAGATGAGGTGACTGCTTTTTCTCTTTCCTTGTTGAAAGAAATCCTCCTTTTGTGTAATTCTGTCAATTCTTGATTTTTATGTTGCAGTGTTAACTTATTGCTATGTAATGTTTTATGACAGTAGTGCCTAAGGGCCAGTGAAGAATGGGGCCCCATCACAGTAGTAGACAGTCCATGCCCTAGAGAATGATACTTGTACTATCCGGCTAGAAGGGACCACAGTGTGGATGTGGTCTGACCATGTGTATACCACAAACCATAGGACTTCCCTGAATTTAATTCTCTTTAAACTAGAGCAGTGGTTCCCAACCTTTTCACTAGTGCAGACCCCCAATCATCCCCCCTCAAACCGTTCACAGACCCTCCCCCCCCAAATCAAAGCCAATTCTAGTAGTCAGAGCAGTATTTTCTCACTTTTCATTTACTTATGTCTGTCTGATTAGACATTCCACTTGTGGATGCTTCACTCTGCTCATCAGTCTTCTTTCTCTTCGGCGAGCCTGATTTCAGCCCCAGACCCATGTTGAATGGATGGCTCACGTTCGTACGCTTCTAACCGTCACAATCGTTTTGTCACACAAGCGCCACAACAAAGATTTTCGAACAGCCATTAATAACATGATTGGAAGATATTTAATTTAAAAATAATAATTGATTGTAACATTGCAATTTATTTAAAATTTATTTTCTATGATCATTTTTATTTCTTTTTTTTTTCCCCATGGACCCCCTGCAATACCCTCCGCAGACCCCCGGTTGGGAACCACTGAACTAGAGCTTATCTTTTAGAAAAACATCCAATCTTGACTGAAAAATTTCCAGTAATAAAAGTCCATCATAGCCCTTGGTACGTTGTTCCAATGGTTAATTACCTTCCATATTAAAAATGTGTGTCTTGTGTCTCATTTAAACGTGTCCGTTTCAACCTCCAGCCATAGGATTTTGTTGTGTTTCTAAGCTAGATTGCGGAGTCCTCAGTTATTAGTGGTGTTCCCAATGTAGGTACACGTAGATAACGTAGCACAAACGCTAACTAGATTGAGTTCCTGAATCTCTTGCTGTCGGGCGTGCTTTCCGATCCTTACATCATTTTCTGTGGTGCCCTTTACCCTGAAGGCTTTAAAGCATTTTACTAACTGTAACCATGGCATTCACCACTAAAATGCAGCCACCTCTGCAGTGGAACGCAGCTGTCTGGTAGCTCAGAGGACCAGCAGACACAGTCGGGGGCAGGATGTGGAGGTCAATCTCCAACTCGAAAGCCAGCTGACATCGATTCTCCATAGACAATAGGTTTTCCAATGCCAACCAGGGGGGTCAGTCGGCTTCCACTGTCCCAGAGACAGGCAGGTTTGATTTGTAGCTTTTAATAACTTGATTTTTATAATAGTAATTGTGGGACCGTCCCTGGGAAGGAGGCTGTTTTCCGTGCGCTCTGATTTGGATGGCATGTACTGCCTTTCCTGGTCCCAAACCCTGACTTTTCCTAAGCCACTCGGATTCCTTCCATTGAAAGGGGTAAGCCTCTGCTCGGACATGCAGGGGGAGTTCAGCTGGAGCTTCCATTCTAATGACACCCATTTATTCCAGGGGTGAATTTTTCCCCACGGTGCCTAAAATTCCTGGCTCACAGAACATGCAACACCAAACACTGAAGCTTTGAGCTGCAGGCCATGGTCTCTGTGAAATAAGTCCCAGGCCAGTTGCCAATCGACAGGTTACTGAAGTGTCCCTCCCAACCTGACTGTGGGGAGGCTCTTCCATCGACTCTAGAGGGCTGTCTCTTCAGGCCTGCGATGAGAGACGTTGGAAGGGGAAGCTTCTTTTTGCTGCATCAGGGCTGTGGATCAGGCTCCTTCCAGAGTCCCTAGTGCACTCACCTGCAGTGTGCCAGGTTACAGCCTCTTCTTCTGGCTCTGCCAGAGCCCCCTCCCCCCACCCCTCATCTTTTCATAGGTACACGTCCCATCAGTGACCCCCGAAGCCATGAGATTCCCTCCTCGGCTCCCTCCGGACAATTGACGCTCGTCTGTCAAACCAATGGGGAAGCACTGACTCGGGGGCTCTTTATGTGACTACTTTGCAGAGCTGGCTAGAGTTCTTCTGGCTTGTCCGCTAACTTCTTTGCAGAGTGGTGGGTGGGGCCTGGAGTTCTCTGATCACCTGCCCCGTTCTTATCCATTGTTTTAAATCGTTCAGCCGTGCTCCGAGTCCTGTTGTTCCCATGGAATCAATTGATCTTTGGTAGTATGAGCTTATTCCCAACTAAGAGAATGGGCTAGGGAGGCCAGAGAGTAAGTGTGGAAAAATTGGAACACAACTTTTTTTTCCCAGGGCAGGGGTTTAGGCATAGATAGAACACAAAGCTCCTAGCATCAGGACATCTGTTCAGACTAGGGTAGGTCCTTAGCAGTAGATGGGCTCTCCCCACCCTTCAGAGATAGCAAATTGGCTGGCACGTTTCACCAGCATCGTATTTATATTTCCTCTTTTAAAGATCAAAGGTGAAAACTTTCACTCTGCACGCATGTGAGCGAATAGGATCCTGTGCCGGCTGCCGCAAGCGATGTCTCCTGCTCTTATTTGCAGTCCAGAATTCATTGACACTCTTCAGTGACCCGCCATTTGGAAATAGGACTTTAAAGAGCTTGTGAGCCTAGGCCTGTGGTTCTCAACTGGTGGTCCATGGTGACTTTTTTGGTGGTCCACAGGAACATTGTCCAAAGTCACACGGCGTGGACAGGCACCAAAAATCTGTTGGTAAGAAATAAATTTCAAACCAAAATGTTCATTTTCTGCTCCTCTTTTATCATGTCTCAAAAAGGAGGTGGTCCACGAAAATTTTTTGATTGGCCTGGTGGTCTGTGGACTAAAATGAGTTGAGAACCATTGGCCTAGGCGGAGAAGGAAAAGGAGAAAGCTCTGAAAAGCAGACTTGGAACAACGGTTGTGAAGCCAGCCACGCAATTTTTTTGGTAAAGTGAGAAGTCTGTCACTTCCTTGTATGAGTTGTCAGTTGGCTTTTCTTTTCCTATGTGGTTGTGACAAGCCTCTCATTTTACTTCCTCCTTGCTCCTTCCCCTCCACTGCTTCTGTCAAGAAAGTAGAAAAATGCTGTGACAAGGGAAGGTGAAAGGAGTGGATCACCTAAAATAGATTAGAAGATCTTACGATACTTGCTATATAATCGAAACTAGTGAGCTTGCAGTAGGTATGTAAACATGTTTTGGTTGCTAGGTCTTTAATGGCTGTTATTTTTGGATTCTGTACATGATTACTTCCCAACCGCGAGTCTGATGTGACCCAGCTGAGTTCTAAATGTGCTGCATAAAAGATTCTGCTGAAGGTCGTTTATCTGGTTTCTTTTCTAAGAGGACAGATGACACTATCTTCCCCCCCCCCCACCGGGCAGAAAGAGGGGCTGTTGAACAAACAAGAA